GGCACCATCTAACTGGTTATATTGGGATACATATTCCAATACCCACCCGCTCCCGAGCTGTGGCAAATTCCTGCCAGGAATGTGGCAGCTGCCAATCCTCCCTGGGCTCTTCAGGTGCTGCTGGAGATGCCCCCACCTGCCCTCCCTTCCTTGCCAGGAGCCCCCAGGAGCAAACCCCAGAGCCCAGCGATGCTGGGAGGCCCCAAAGCCCTGATGGAGGAGGCGGGTGGAGGGAAAATGCCTGAAACCAGAGAGACTGCACCTGGACCTGAGAGTCCTTTACACCTTTGTACATTCCTGAATCATGACCAGGGAGATTCCTTTATCCATCCCTGAATCATGGCCAGCAAGATTCCTTTACACCTTTATCCATCCCTGAATCATGGCCAGGGAGATTCCTTTATCCATCCCTGAATCACGGCAAGGGAGTCTCCTTTATACCTTTATCCATCCCTGAATCACGGCCAGCAAGACTCCTTTATACCTTTAAACATCCCTGGATTATGGTCAGGGAGACTCCTTTATCCATCCCTGAATCACGGCAAGGGAGTCTCCTTTATACCTTTATCCATTCCTGAATCATGGTCAGGGAGATTCCTTTATCCATCCCTGAATCATGGCAAGGGAGACTTCTTTACACCTTTATACATCCCTGGATCATGGCCAGCAAAACACCTTTACACCTTTATCCATCCCTGAATCATGGCCAGGGAAACTCCTTTATACATCTCAGGATTATAGCCAGGGAGACTTCTTTATCCATCCCTGAATCATGGCAAGGGAGTCTCCTTTTATACCTTTACCCATTCCTGAATCATGGTCAGGGAGACTTCTTTACACCTTTATCCATCCCTGAATCACGGCCAGGGAGATTCCTTTTATACCTTTACACAGCCCAGGATGGTGGCCAGGGACACGCACAGCCCTGGGGTGCAGAGTGGGTCCAGCCATGGCCACCACATCCCTCCCCATAGCTCACAAACAACCCCAGCCACAGAGAGGCCAAAGAACCTGCAGCAACTCCTGCAAGTTCCTCTGCTTTGAAAAAAAAACCCACTTCAGTGACCCAGAACGCTTTTGCTGCCCCAGTGCCCGAGGAGGGGCCACGGCCGCCTCTGCATCCCGGCTGATTAAATCCCATCTGCGGGCTCTGAGTCACCCTGGATCCCTCCCACAGGCGCGGGGCCAGGCGAGGAGAGCCGGAAGCCGCCAGCCCCGGACCGGAGCTCCACCGGGAACAATGTTAATTAACGCTTTTAAAAAAATCTCCATCTGCCAGAGATGCCTGACTGTGCCCAGCCCCGGCCCTGCTGCCTGCAGAGGGACACAGGGACAGCGCGGGGACCCAGCAGGAGGATCCAGCGGAGCTCCCGGCAGGGCTGCAGCCATGGAGACCCCCGAGAAGGCAGCGGGATGAGCCTCACCTGCCCAGCTCCTCTCC